GGGTCCTCTGCCCACGGTCACACGGCTGGTGCGTGTTGGACCTGACACCCGATTCTGGAGGCTCGCTCCTGAGCATCGCCCGTGCTGTGTTCATTGCCTGCTCGTCCTTTCTTCCCTTCTTGTGGGTGCTCAGTCTTTGGTTGTGTAGAGACTCAATAAAGGGGTGTTTATTCCTCTGTCTCTGTTTTTTTTCTGCTCTGAAATAGAAACCCAGATGTCAGCCAAGGCCTCTCTGAGAGAGGATCTGCTTACTCTTTACCAAACAGAAAGTGAAATGAATGAAAGTAAACAGCTGCTCTTCTCGGCTCAGCCGCCTGGTGCTCCTTCCTCCCGCCTCCCTCTTCTACCTCTCCCAGGCTTGGGTGTCAGCCTTCCTTGGGGGATCCCCCTACTCGGATTGCACCTGTTGCTCTGTCCCCAGCTAAGATGTTACAGCGTCATAACAATAGCTTCTGTTTGTCAGGCACCTTGCTCAATTCTGTTCTGAAACCTTTAAACCAGTTCGGTGAAGTAGACCTGTTAGGATCTCCGTGCTGCCTCTGAGGGATACAGAGTTCAGAGAGAGAAAGAGATCAAGGTTTCACGGCCAACGAGCCCACAGAGCTGAGATGTGAAGCTCAACCCGTGTGAGTCCAGGCCTGAGCCCGACTGTGATGCTGGCTTCCTCCTCTTTCTGGGATTTTCCTCTATTTGATAGGTGCTGTTGCCAGTGTCCTCAGCTAATTCATCATACTCATGCTGACCACCGTGTGTCTGGCAGTGACGAATTTGATTGTCAGCTTCAGATTGCATCCTGCTGATTAAAGGGCCCGGACATAAAGAAGGAATGTATTTTATAGTTCACCATCGAGCTTGCTTTGGTCTCCAGATTGCTGCAATCTTCTCCTGTCTTAGACCTTCTGTTTGTTTGTCGTCGTCCCCGCCCCTCCCCAGGCGTCTAGACCCTGAGCTAAGAAAGCATAAATAAGTAAATGAAGAGGTTACCATTTTTTATTGAGCACAGAAAGATCTTGCTGCTTCTAAGGAGCCATAAACATTTTTAACAAAATTGATCTTGTTCTCTTTTAATGCTTTTCTTGGCTTACTTATATAATTAATCTGTTTTTTAATGTTACACAATTAAAAAAAACTCTTTGGTGGTGATTTAGGTGCAAGTTTGAGAGCAAATCGATTTTCTGTTCAACAGTCCATGCGTATTTTGTGGCATGTCATTGATTGCAATGCTCACAATGCAGCCATTCTCTTCCCACTTCC